CACAAGTTCGTTCAACATCTATTATGTTGACATGGTATAATCGTTAGGCCTTAATTATCCCCGCAATCGTTAGCCTTTAATTACCATGGAAGTCGATATAAGCCTTGATTATCCAGGTAGTCGATATTAGCCTTTATTATCCTGGTAGTCAGAAGGCCCTCAAGACTATATCATGCTTACCGAGAACCCCCCTTGCCACCGCCTGGTAATTGACAGGATGCAACCCACAACAGTCGACTAACCCGCAGGTGCATGTATACTGATAGGTGAACTGAATGGAACGCAAGACCAGACGGTTGTAAGCCGATTGCTGGGTTTTACGGCCAGCGACGTATGGGAGGTCATTACGCCCGAGGTTGGTGTTGGGCTTAAGTCCTGTCAACCTCTGGAGGGTTGTTAAGACCTATACAACTGTTTACTGACCAACCAGTAATTATACATTAGCTTTAAACACGGTCCAGAACTATAATAAACTCAGGGTGTATACACGGAGAAGCCCAGTACCCCTCTCTGTGTATATGAGGGACTGTATACCTTGTGAGGCGGTAGACTGCTTCTCTGGTAGACTACTTGAGTTTACATGTTGTGGTGCTTGTTGAGCTTAATGCCTACCAACCTGTCGAGGGGTTATTAAAGCTCATCACTTATGAACCCATCCCTGCCCTTGTGTGGCAATGCACAATAGAAAGTTTTTACATATTCATACATTAAAACATTGATTGTAACCATGATATATATATGTGCCAGTTTAGACCTATTGTCTTGTGTATGACCCTCTGTCCTGCGTGACAGTGAATACCAGCATTATCCTCACTTTAATAAAGCTTAATCTTAATCCTCAGATTAGGCAAAATTGTAATTGATTTTGTCAATAAAGATGTTAATAATAATAATAACATCAAAAGCTTAGTGACTAACCTGCATGAAAAGTTTAGTGCTGAAAATAGCTAACGAGTTAAATAACCTCTCAGAGCATATACATAGAGTGTGCGACCCACCTCAAGGTGTATAGATGATGAATATATATATATGCGAACAAGCCTGAATGGTCCCCAGGACTATATGCGAATGAAAACTCACACCCCAGAAGTGACTCGAACACATACTGCCAGGAGCAACGCAACTGGTATCTACAGGACGCCTTAATCCGCTTGACCATCACGACAGGACATAAGGAAGTGATAGCCGAAGCTATTTGAACCACTTCCCCGCCGGCACTCAGATGGTAATCTTGGGCATAGCACAGGGGACCATTCAGGCTTGTTCGCATTTGTGTTCCTCACGTGTGCCCCAAAGAATGAGGTGATTTGATCAAATGCTATGCCCAAGACTACCATCCAAGTGCTGGCAGGGAAGTGGTTCAAATAGCTTCGGCTATCACTTCCTTATGTCCGGTCGTGATGGTCAAGCGGATTAAGGCGTCCTGTAGATACCAGTTGCGATGCTCCTGGCAGTATGGGTTCGAGTCACTTCTGGGGTGTGAGTTTATATATATATATATATATATATATGTCGTACCTAGTAGCCAGAACGCACTTCTCAGCCTACTATGCAAGGCCCGATTTGCCTAATAAGCCAAGTTTTCATGAATTAATTGTTTTTCGACTACCTAACCTACTTAACCAAACCTAACCTAACTTTTTCGGCTGACTAACCTAACCTAACCTACAAAGATAGGTTAGGTTAGGTTAGGTAGGGTTGGTTAGGTTCGGTCATATATCTACGTTAATTTTAACTCCAATAAAAAAAAATTAACATCATACATAATGAAATGGGTAGCTTTATCATTTCAAAAGAAAAAAATTAGAGAAAATATATTAATTCAGGAAAACTTGGCTTATTAGGCAAATCGGGCCTTGCATAGTAAGCTGAGAAGTGCGTTCTGGCTATTAGGTACGACATATATATATATATATATATATATATATATATATATATATATATATATATATATATATATATATATATATATATATATATATATATATATATATATATATATACGGTGGTATATATATATATGGTGTCCACTGGCGGTGGCACGAGATGTGGTATTTAACTACCTACACCTGAGTGTGGGCAGGTATCTATATCTATGCGAAATATCTATACCTCTTGCCCGAAAGCGTACTAGTGGCTTTAGGTATTGTATGTACTACCTCTAGCTTTAAATCTAACAGAATGTTTGTACTGTAACTCTGCAACTATGTATGTACTGTTCCTAAATATATTATAATTATTATCTAACTACCTACACCTGAGTGCTGGCCGGTATGTCATTAAGGCGGGGTTGTAAATACTCATGCTGCTGCCTTCCAAACCTACAAGTGTAGTACAACTTGTGGTTGTGATAGTTGTAGTCTCAATCAGGGTCCAGAGGGTGGTGGGTGTTTGTGGGGCGTCCAGAGATGCTGGATCACTCCCACACCCTGCAAGATGACCACATCTACGTAAGTATACCTGCGAATGCTTCATCACAGAAAACGTGTTGAGGGTACACTAGTGTAGTCGTGAGGCCCCTACGATAACCTCTTACGGAAAATATCTAATATGCTCGTTATTCACAATTGTTCACTTGGTCTATTGTTAGTTTATAACATTATTATGCAAGAGTCCGTATAAAAAGATAAGTAAGTAATGGTTGATTTGTTACTTGATTTGTGTATTTTTATTAATGAAAATGCATTTTATTTTATAATTGTTTTCAAAATAAATTTATAATTGATAATTACCTTTGGCTTTCAAATATTGCATCTGCAATTTAACCAGCACTCACACCTCACTGTAACTAGCTGGATTATTTTTCATTTCCACTTCAATAACTTAAGGAATGACAAATTTTCTCTCAATAATATGAGCGCTTTTGCCTAATTAATAATAATAATAATAATAATAATAATAATAATAATAATAATAATAATAATAATAATAATAATAATAATAATAATAATAATAATAATATTTTATTTAGGAACAGTACATACATAGTTGCAGAGTTACAGTACAAACATTCTGTTAGACTTAAAGCTAGAGGTAGTACATACAATACCTAAAGCCACTAGTACGCATAGCGTTTCGGGCAAATTATTGGTGTACATTCACAGAGAGGTGTACCTCGCTCCTCAGTGTATACATTGAGAGTTTACTTTAGTCCTCGACTATATGTTCACGACTAAATATAAATATAAATTAGTTAGTAGTTAGGAACAGTTGATTGACAGTTGAGAGGCGGGCCGAAAGAGCAGAGCTCAACCCCCTCAAGCACAACTAGGTGAGTACACGGCAATGAAGAATTGGTAATGCATAACATTTAATATTTCCTACTGAAGAGCGGGTGAGCGCCACTCCTGTTGTCGGAGTGGCGACACTCCTCCTGTTGTCGGAGTGGCGACACTCCGACAACAGGATGTTGTGACGGAGAAACTCTTACGTCAGTCCTCTACAAGCTGCGTGATTGACAGCTCTTTACACGCCTCTGTATGTTCCATGACAGCTTAACTGAACAATGTTCTGGACTAAAGTATACTTCCTGGTTGGTCAATAAACTCTAGTGTGGCCTTAATAACTCTCCAGAGGTTGGTGGGCCTTAATAACTCTCCAGAGGTTGGTGGGCCTTAATAACTCTCCAGAGGTTGGTGGGCCTTAATAACTCTCCAGAGGTTGGTGGGCCTTAATAACTCTCCAGAGGTTAGTGGGCCTTAATAACTCTCCAGAGGTTAGTAGGCCTTAATAACCCTCCAGAGGTTGGTGGGCCTTAATAACTCTCCAGAGGTTAGTAGGCCTTAATAACCCTCCAGAGGTTGGTAGGCCTTAATAACCCTCCAGAGGTTGGTAGACCTTAATAAACCTCCAGAGGTTGGTAGGCCTTAATAAACCTCCAGAGGTTGGTAGGCCTTAATAACTCTCCAGAGGTTGGTGGGCCTTAATAACTCTCCAGAGGTTGGTGGGCCTTAATAACTCTCCAGAGGTTAGTAGGCCTTAATAACCCTCCAGAGGTTGGTGGGCCTTAATAACTCTCCAGAGGTTAGTAGGCCTTAATAACCCTCCAGAGGTTGGTAGGCCTTAATAACCCTCCAGAGGTTGGTAGACCTTAATAAACCTCCAGAGGTTGGTAGGCCTTAATAAACCTCCAGAGGTTGGTAGGCCTTAATAACCCTCCAGAGGTTGGTAGACCTTAATAACCCTCCAGAGGTTGGTAGACCTTAATAACCCTCCAGAGGTTGGTAGGCCTTAATAAACCTCCAGAGGTTGGTAGGCCTTAATAAACCTCCAGAGGTTGGTAGGCCTTAATAAACCTCCAGAGGTTGGTAGGCCTTAATAACCCTCCAGAGGTTGGTAGACCTTAATAACCCTCCAGAGGTTGGTAGACCTTAATAACCCTCCAGAGGTTGGTAGGCCTTAATAAACCTCCAGAGGTTGGTAGGCCTTAATAACCCTCCAGAGGTTGGTAGGCCTTAATAACCCTCCAGAGGTTAAGAGTCCTTAAGCCCATCACAAAAACCATGTGATGTGACCAGTGTAAACCACTATTGCCATCTGACAGTAGACTCAAAACTCAGGTAAATCTCGGTAGACTACACTGCAGCCACAAAGTTTACACTCAACACATGAACGTATCACCAGTGTACGGGGAACCTGTACACCTGTTGATTGACGGATGAGAGGCGGGACCAAAGAGCCGACACATAACCCCTGCAAGCACACCTAGGTGAGTACATGTTAATACAAGAATGTACACAGGTGAGTACATGTAGGTTTATGAGTACAGGAAAGTATACAATAAGGAATACAGTCAAGTACAGACACGTATACAGGTGAGTTCAAGTAGTTGTACAGGAGTATAGAGGCAGTAAACAAGTGAGTAAAGGCAGTTTTACAAAGACAAACAATAAAGTAAACTAAGAACATCAGCATATCTATGGCAAGGGACAAACAATTCGAGAAAAACAAAGAAAAACAAAACTGCTTCCTTTCAATCCTTACCTAAAAAATCTTGGGGAATGTTTGTGTGTTCTGCTTGCTACCTGCCGGGCTGTCAGGTGCAGGTGAGTCACTGGAGCATTCAAGAGTCCTCCTGGAACGACCAAGAGCCTTCCGAGCCCGCTTGGAACGGCCAGGAACTTTCCGAGCCCGCCTGGAACGACCAAGAGCCTTCCGAGCCCGCCTGGAACGGCCAGGAACTTTCCGAGCCCGCCTGGAACGGCCAGGAGCTTTCCGAGCCCGCCTGGAACGACCAGGAGCTTTCTGAGCCCGCCTGGAACGACCAGGAGCTTTCCGAGCCCGCCTGGAACGACCAGGAGCTTTCCGAGCCCGCCTGGAACGACCAGGAGCTTTCAGAGCCCGCCTGGAACGACCAGGAGCTTTCCGAGCCCGCCTGGAACGACCAGGAGCTTTCCGAGCCCGCCTGGAACGACCAGGAGCTTTCCGAGCCCGCCTGGAACGACCAGGAGCTTTCCGAACCCACCTGGAACGACCAGGAGCTTTCCGAGCCCGCCTGGAACGACCAGGAGCTTTCCGAGCCTGCCTGGAACGACCAGGAGCTTTCCGAACCCACCTGGAACGCACCAGGAGCTTTCCGAGCCCACCTGGAACGCACCAGGAGCTTTCCGAGCACGTCTAGAACGCACCAGAAGTTTTCCGAGCACGTCTAGAACGCACCAGAAGTTTTCCGAGCACGTCTAGAACGCACCAGAAGTTTTCCGAGCCCGCCTGGAACAACCAGGAGCCTTCTGAGCCCGCCTGGAACGCTCCGGGAGGCTTCCAGAGCCCACTTGGACGCACCAGTAATATTTCAGAGCCTACCTGGAACACATCAGAAACATTCCAGAGTCTACTTAGAATGCACATGGAGTATTCCAGGAACATTTTATGAACAAGCACAATGAGGTGGGTACACAGTCATAAAAGATGACACTAGCATACACACACACAGCAATCAGACATACCTTCATAGTAGTTAACAGATGGAATGCATTAGGTAGTGATGTGGTGGAGGCAGATTCCATACACAGTTTCAAGTGTAGATATGATAGAGCCCAGTAGGCTCAGGAACCTGTACACCAGTTGATTGACAGTTGAGAGGCCAGAAGAGCCAGAGCTCAACCCCCGCAAACACAACTAGGTGAGTGCACTCACACACACACACACATCCTTATCCAGTAGATAAGGGAGTATCTAAGCAACAGGAAACAGCGAGTAACTGTGAGGGGGAGACATCAGAGTGTCAAGGTGTCACCAGCGGAGTCCCACAGAGTTCTGTACTTGGATCCATCCAGTTTCTAATATATGTAAACGGTCTTCCAGAGGGTATAGACTCATTCCTTTATATGTTTGCTGATGGTGCAAAAATTATGAGAAGGATCAAGACAGATGAAGATAGACAGAGACTACAGGACGACCTGGACAAACTGAAGGAATGACTAGAAAATGGCTACTAAAGTTCAACTTAGGAAAGTGTAAAGTAATAAAATTATGCGAAGGGAGCAGGGGGCTGAACACAAGATACCATCTTGGAGGTGAAATCCTGAGAGTCAAATTGAAAGATCTTGGGGTTGATATCACACCGAACCTGTCCCCAAAAGCCCACATCAAAAGGATATCATCAGCGTCATATGCTAGATTGGGAGGGATAATAACTGCCTTGTGTAAGGAATCGTTCAGGACCTTGTATACCACTTATGTCAGACCAATCCTGGAGTATGCAGCTCCAGGCTGGAGTCCATACCTTGTTAAACACAAGACAAAGTTAGAAAAGATTCAGAAATATGCCGTCTGGTGGCATACCTTCAGACCATACCTAGGGAATTTCAGACAGTTCTCCTGAACTGAGAGGTATGAGCTACGAGGAAAGGCTAAGGGAGCTAAACCTCACGTCCCTGGAAGACAAAGGGTAAGGGGAAATATGATATCACCTTCAAAATTCCCAGGGGAATTGACAGGGTGGACAAAGACAAACAATTTAACACGGGTGGAACACGAACAAAGGGACACAGGTGGAAACTAAGTACCCAAATGAGCCAGAGACATTTAAAGAATTTTTTCAGTGTCAGAGTAGTTAACAAATGGAATGCATTGGGCAGTGATGTGGTGGAGGCTGACTCCATACACAGTTTCAAATGTAGATATGATAGAGCCCAGTAGGCTCAGGAATCTGTACACCAGTTGAATGACAGTTGAGAGGCGGGACCAAAGAGCCAGAACTCAACCCCCGCAAGTAGAACTAGGTGAGTACACCCCTTCACACCACAAGCAAGACAACACAACACAAGCAAGACAACACAACAACACAAGCAAGACAACACAACACAAGCAAGACAACACAACAACACAAGCAAGACAACACAACACAAGCAAGACAACACAACAACACAAGCAAGACAACACAAGCAAGACAACACAACACCACAAGCAACACAACAACACAAACAGGACAACACAACACCACAAGCAACACAACAACACAAGCAAGACAACACAACACAAGCAAGACAACACAACACCCAGCAGAAACACCAGAATGGAAACAGGGAATCTGGGAATAGCGGAAATTGTCTCACTGAAGCAGGCAATAGATTGTTTGGTTAGGTGTTCAATAGTTGAGGAACGGCGTTCGGGAGCGGATCTCTATCGCAGCGGAATGACCCGTTCGGGCTGGGCGGATTCGGTGCGAATTTGGGGGATTTGCAATCCAAGACGGGGATGGTTGTAAGAAGAAAATAAGTATTGTGGCTCTTGTCTGTAAACTGGTGGAGAGCTGGACGCGGGTAGGAACGGTTTGGTTCGTTTGGTATCGTGCAAATTAAAGAACCAAAGTTACCAATTACCACCCACTACTATGAACCACCACCGACCACCAATCATCGCCAGCTACCACCATCCAACCAGCTATACCATAACCAAGCAATTTTGAGTAGTTATCAACTGCTTTCTCAAGCGTGAAGCAGTTGTCAGCCCAATCTTCTTCACATATGCCTTGACCATTCCCCCTTAACCACCACCCCCCCCCCTTAACCATCCTATTATTCCCTTACCCCCTACTGTTTCCCCCCTCTTCTCTGTTGTCCTGTAGACACTATGTACGATAGACTGTCCCTCTAGTCCTGTAGACACCATGTACGATAGACTGTTCCTCTGGTCCTGTAGACACCGTGTACGATAGACTTCCTCTGGTCCTGTAGACACCATGTACGATAGACTGTTCCTCTGGTCCTGTAGACACCGTGTACGATAGACTGTTCCTCTGGTCCTGTAGACACCGTGTACGATAGACTGTCCCTCTAGTCCTGTAGACACTATGTACGATAGACTGTTCCTCTAGTCCTGTAGACACTATGCACGATAGACTGTTCCTCTGGTCCTGTAGACACCGTGTACGATAGACTGTTCCTCTGGTCCTGTAGACACCGTGTACGATAGACTGTCCCTCTAGTCCTGTAGACACCGTGTACGATAGACTGTCCCTCTGGTCCTGTAGACACCATGTACGATAGACTGTCCCTCTAGTCCTGTAGACACTATGTACGATAGACTGTTCCTCCGGTCCTGTAGACACCGTGTACGATAGACTGTTCCTCTAGTCCTGTAGACACCGTGTACGATAGACTGTCCCTCTAGTCCTGTAGACGCTATGTACGATAGACTGTTCCTCTGGTCCTGTAGACACCGTGTAAGATAGACTGTCCCTCTAGTCCTGTAGACACTATGTACGATAGACTGTTCCTCTGGTCCTGTAGACACCGTGTACGATAGACTGTTCCTCTGGTCCTGTAGACACCGTGTACGATAGACTGTTCCTCTGGTCCTGTAGACACTATGTACGATAGACTGTTCCTCTGGTCCTGTAGACACTATGTACGATAGACTGTCCCTCTAGTCCTGTAGACACCGTGTACGATAGACTGTTCCTCTGGTCCTGTAGACACCATGTACGATAGACTGTTCCTCTGGTCCTGTAGACACTATGTACGATAGACTGTTCCTCTGGTCCTGTAGACACTATGTACGATAGACTGTTCCTCTGGTCCTGTAGACACTATGTACGATAGACTTTTCCTCTGGTCCTGTAGACACTATGTACGATAAACTGTTCCTCTGGTCCTGTAGACACCGTGTACGATAGACTGTCCCTCTGGTCCTGTAGACACCGTGTACGATAGACTGTCTCTCTGGTCCTGTAGACACTGTGTACGATAGACTGTTCCTCTGGTCCTGTAGACACGATGTACGATAGACTGTCCCTCTAGTCCTGTAGACACCGTGTACGATAGACTGTTCCTCTGGTCCTGTAGACACCGTGTACGATAGACTTCCTCTGGTCCTGTAGACACCATGTACGATAGACTGTTCCTCTGGTCCTGTAGACACCGTGTACGATAGATTGTTCCTCTGGTCCTGTAGACACCGTGTACGATAGACTGTCCCTCTAGTCCTGTAGACACTATGTACGATAGACTGTTCCTCTAGTCCTGTAGACACTATGCACGATAGACTGTTCCTCTGGTCCTGTAGACACCGTGTACGATAGACTGTTCCTCTGGTCCTGTAGACACCGTGTACGATAGACTGTCCCTCTAGTCCTGTAGACACCGTGTACGATAGACTGTCCCTCTGGTCCTGTAGACACCATGTACGATAGACTGTCCCTCTAGTCCTGTAGACACTATGTACGATAGACTGTTCCTCTGGTCCTGTAGACACCGTGTACGATAGACTGTCCCTCTAGTCCTGTAGATACCGTGTACGATAGACTGTCCCTCTAGTCCTGTAGACACTATGTACGATAGACTGTTCCTCTGGTCCTGTAGACACTGTGTACGATAGACTGTCCCTCTAGTCCTGTAGACACTATGTACGATAGACTGTTCCTCTGGTCCTGTAGACACCGTGTACGATAGACTGTTCCTCTGGTCCTGTAGACACCGTGTACGATAGACTGTCCCTCTGGTCCTGTAGACACTATGTACGATAGACTGTTCCTCTGGTCCTGTAGACACTATGTACGATAGACTGTCCCTCTAGTCCTGTAGACACCGTGTACGATAGACTGTTCCTCTGGTCCTGTAGACACCATGTACGATAGACTGTTCCTCTGGTCCTGTAGACACTATGTACGATAGACTGTTCCTCTGGTCCTGTAGACACTATGTACGATAGACTGTTCCTCTGGTCCTGTAGACACCATGTACGATAGACTGTCCCTCTGGTCCTGTAGACACTATGTACGATAGACTGTTCCTCTGGTCCTGTAGACACTATGTACGATAGACTGTTCCTCTGGTCCTGTAGACACTATGTACGATAGACTGTTCCTCTGGTCCTGTAGACACTATGTACGATAGACTGTTCCTCTGGTCCTGTAGACACTATGTACGATAGACTTTTCCTCTGGTCCTGTAGACACTATGTACGATAGACTGTTCCTCTGGTCCTGTAGACACCGTGTACGATAGACTGTCCCTCTGGTCCTGTAGACACCGTGTACGATAGACTGTCCCTCTGGTCCTGTAGACACTGTGTACGATAGACTGTTCCTCTGGTCCTGTAGACACCATGTACGATAGACTGTTCCTCTGGTCCTGTAGACACCATGTACGATAGACTGTCCCTCTAGTCCCGTAGACACTATGTACGATAGACTGTCCCTCTAGTCCTG